ATTACTCACAAAGACTCACATAGAAACTGACAGACTCACACAGAGACCCACAGACTCACACGGAGTCTCACAGACTCACACTGAGACCATCAGACTCACACACAGAGACCCACAGACGCACACAGAGAGACCCACAGACTCACACAGAGACCCACAGACTCACACAGACACCCATAGACTCACATATAGACTCACACAGAGACCCACAGACTCACCACAGAGAGGCCCACAGACTCACACTGAGACCCACAGACTCACACTAGGACCCACAGACTCACACAGAGAGACCCACGGACTCGCACGGAGTCTCACAGACTCACACAAAGACCACCGACTCAAACAGACACCCATAGACTCACATATAGACTCACACAGAGACCCACAGACTCACCACAGAGAGGCCCACAGACTCACACTGAGACCCACAGACTCACACGGAGGCTCACAGACTCACACAGAGACCCACAGACTCACACGGAGTCTCACAGACTCACACAAAGACCCACCGACTCAAACAGACACCCATAGACTCACATATAGACTCACACAGAGACCCACAGGCTCACACAGACACCCATAGACTCACATATAGACTCATACACAGATCCACAGACTTACAAAGAGACCCACAGACTCACATAGAGACCTACAGACTCGTACCGAGACCCACAGACTCACACAGACACCCATAGACTCACACACAGACTCACACAGAGACCAACAGACTCACACAGAGACCAACAGACTCACACAGAGACCCACAGACTCACACGGAGACCCACAGACTCACACGAAGACGCACAGACTCACACGGACTCACAGACTCACAATATATACACACAAACTCACACAGAGACCCACAGACTCACACAGACACCCATAGACTCACATATAGACTCACACAGAGACCCACAGACACCAGAAACTAACATCGAGTCACCATGGACTCGCAGGGAAGGAGGAGTCACCAGAAGGGAAACCATTGCTGCCACGTGTACGTGCGAGGGGGAAACACTCTATACCCGTGCAGAAAGAACTGGTGTGGAACAGATGGAACAAGTGGAGTCCAGGGGGTACGGCTACTCCACGACAGCCACCCACGGTGTAGAAGAGTGGTGAGTCCAACAACCCATCTGTGTGTGACCCACCAACCCTCCCTGCTCATGCTGAATTATATTTATATATTCTTAGGTTTTTCGGTAAAGTCACGTAGGTAACCATTTTAAATTAATAAAAGTAAAATAAAAATAAAATCACGACGTTTCGGAGGCAACACAAGCTTCCGTCTTCAGGTGGAACCGTCACAGCACGATAGCTGTATCACTTGATACGTCGTGATTTTATTTTTATTTTACTTTTATTAATTCAATTTTTTTACCTACGTGACTTTACCGAAAAACCTAAGAATATGAATCCTTGCAGTCACGAAAGCTTCAAATCTAGAAACATGCTGAATGATTACAGCAGCCGCGTGCAGCAGCAGCAGCATTGCCACCACCACCACCACGTGCACCAGCTGCATAGCCACCACCGCCACCACCACGTGCAGCAGCAGCAGCATTGCCACCACCACCACCACGTGCAGCGGGCAGTGAGCAGGTTGCGAGCTGCTCATCTTTCCCAGATGGGATGAGACCGGGCGAACTGAGTGCGGGATTTGCGGTGTCTGCATCTGCGGATTAACCCTCGCGCTTCCGTCGCTGGGCAAACAGAACGAGCCACTGTGAGGAGGGGGGAGATCAGGAGAAGTGGTGGGTGGGTTGGTGGGGGTGATTGGGGGGGGGGTGGTGGTAAGTGGGTGGTGGGTTAGTCGGGTGAGTGGGTGGGTGGGTGGGTGGGGTGAGTGAGTGAGTGGGGGGTGAGTGAGTGGGTGAGTGAGTGGGTGTGTGGTGGATGGGTAGGTGGGTGGTTGAGTGGTTGGTGGGTGGTGAGTGGGTGGGTGGGTGAGGTGGTGGTGGATGAGTGGGTGTGGTGAGTGGGGGGGTGATGAGTGGGTGGGTGGATGGGTGGTGGGTGGGAGTGAGTGGGTGGTGGGTGGTGGTGAGTGAGTGGGTGGGTGAGTGATGTGGGTGGGTGGATGAGTGAGTGGGTGGGTGGAGTGAGTGAGTGGGTGGTGAGTGTGGGTGGGTGGAGTGGGGGATGGTGTGGGTGAGTGGGTGGGTGGTGGGAGTGGGTGGGTGAGTGGGTGGGTGGGTGAGTTACTGGGTGAGTGAGTGGGTGGGTGGGTGAGTGGGTGGGTGGGTGAGTGGGTGGGTGGGTGAGTAAGTGGATGGGTGAGTTACTGGTTGGGTGAGTGAGTGAGTTACTGGGTGAGTTACTGGGTGAGTGAGTGGGTGAGTGGGTGGGTGAGTTACTGGGTGAGTTGCTTAGTGGGTGAATGCGTGGGTGAGTGAGTGTATGGGTAAGCGGGTGAGGAGGTGGGTGAGTTAATGGGTGAATGGCTGTAGAGTTATTGGGATGAATGAGTGAGTAGGTGTATGTTGAACTTCTTTCGCACCGTACGTAGCCAACCACGCTCATTGCGAGCAAGGAGAACAAACTAACACACAAATGGTGAGCGGTGGTGCAGTGGTTAGCGCACTGCACTACGAACCCGGCGACCCGATTTCCTTTCCGGCTCACGGCCAAGTCCAGTGACGATTGCTTGAACCGGTCGTGGGCCTCCCCTAGGTAAACTCATCCTCAAATGAGTACCTGGTGCCGTGTGTAAACATCGCCACTGGGGAAACAAAGGCGGCCGGGCGTGGTGCTGGCGCCCCACCCCCTCGTGTGCCGTGCCGGCATTCATAGGTGCTTGCTTACAGCACTTGCCCCAACAGTCTGGTAAGGTTATATGGGACACTTCGCGCGGGTAAATTATTGAGTGCGATGATGAGTGAGTGAGTTAGCTGACGTTTCAAGTGGATATCAAACAGCAAGTGCGTCCCTGTGTGAGTCTGTGGTTCTCTAGGTGAGTCTGTGGGTATCTGTGCGAGTCTGTGGGTCCCTGTGTGAGTCTATATGTCTCTAGGTGAGTCTGTGGGTTTCTGTGCGAGTCTGTGGGTATCTGTGTGAGTCTGTGTGTGATTCTATGGGTGTCTGTGTGAGTCTGTGGGTCTCCGTGCGAGTCTGTAGGTCTCTGTGTGAGTCTGTGGGTCTATGTGTGAGTCTGTGGGTCTCTGTGTGAGTCTGTGGGTCTATGTGTGAGTCTGTGGGTCTCTGTGTGAGTCTATGGGTCTCTGTGTGAGTCTGTGGGTCTCTGTGTGAGTCTGTGGGTCTATGTGTGAGTCTGTGGGTCTCTGTGTGAGTCTGTGGGTCTCTGTGTGAGTCTGTGGGTTTCTGTGTGAGTCTGTGGGTCTCTGTGTGGGTCTGTGGGTCTATGTGTGAGTCTGTGGGTCTCTGTGTGAGTCTATGGGGCTCTGTGTGAGTCTGTGGGTCTCTGTGTGAGTCTGTGGGTCTATGTGTGAGTCTGTGGGTCTCTGTGTGAGTCTGTGGGTCTCTGTGTGAGTCTGTGGGTCTCTGTGTAAGTCTGTGGGTCTCTGTGTGAGTCTGTGGGTCTCAGTGTGAGTCTGTAGGTCTCAGTGTGAGTGCGGGGGTCTCTGTGTGAGTCTATGGGACTCTGTGTGAGTCTGTGGGTCTCTGTATGAGTATGTGGATCTCTGTGTGAGTCTGTGGGTCTCCGTGCGAGTCTGTGGGTCTCTGTGTGAGTCTGTGGGTCTATGTGTGAGTCTGTGGGTCTCTGTGTGAGTCTGTGGGTCTATGTGTGAGTCTGTGGGTCTCTGTGTGAGTCTATGGGTCTCTGTGTGAGTCTGTGGGTCTCTGTGTGAGTCTGTGGGTCTCTGTGTGAGTCTGTGTGTGAGTCTATGGGTCTCTGTGTGAGTCTGTGGGTCTCTGTGTGAGTCTGTGTGTGAGTCTATGGGTCTCTGTGTGAGTCTGTGGGTCTCTGTGTGAGTCTGTGGGTCTCTGTGTGAGTCTGTGGGTCTCAGTGTGAGTCTGTAGGTCTCAGTGTGAGTGCGTGGGTCTCTGTGTGAGTCTGTGGGTCTCTGTGTGAGTCTGTGGGTCTATGTGTGAGTATGTGGGTCTCTGTGCGAGTCTGTGGGTCTCTGTGTGAGTCTGTGGGTCTCTGTGTGAGTCTATGGGTCTCTGTGTGAGTCTGTGGGTCTCTGTGTGAGTCTGTATGAAGATGTTCTGGTGGCGGTGGTAGTGGAGGAGTAGGAGCTGGAGGTGGTGGTGCAGGTGATGTTGCAGGTGGTGTAAGTGGTGGTGGTGCAGGTGTAGTTGATGGTGCAGCAGGAGGAGGAGCAGGTGTAGGTGGTGCAGCAGGTGATGGTGCAGCAGGTGCAGCAGGTGAAGGTGCAGCAGGAGGTGTAGATGATGGTGTAGGTGGAGGAGGTGATGGTGTAGGTGTTGCAGCAGGTGATGGTACAGCAGCAGGAGGAGGAGCAGGTGTAGGTCGTGCAGCAGGTGATGGTACAGCAGGAGGAGGAGGTGGTCGTAGAGGTGGTGCAGGTGGTGTAGTTGATTGTGCAGCAGCAGGAGGAGGTGATGGTGTAGGTGGTGCAGCAACAGGAGGAGGTAGGTGTGGGTGGTGGTGCAACAGGAGGTGGTGTGGGTGGTGGTGGTGGTGGTAGAGGTGGTGTAGGTGATGTAGGTGGTGTAGGTGGTGTAGGTGGAGGTGGGGCAGCAGCAGGAGGAGGAAGTGGTGTGGGTAGTGGTGGTGTAGGTGTTGCAGCAGGTGATGGTACAGCAGGAAGAGGATTTTCAGAAGGAGGAGGTGGTGCAGGTGATGGTGCAGCAGCAGGAGGAGTAGGAGGTGGTGATGGTGCAGCAGGAGGAGGATGTGCAGGTGTGGGTGGTAGTGTAGGTGGTGCAGCAGGTGATGGTGCAGCAGCAGCAGGAGGTGGTGTGGGTAGTGGTGCAGGTGGTGCAGCAGGTGATGGTGCAGCAGGAGGAGGAGGTGGTGTGGGTGGTGCAGCATGTGCAGCATGTGCAGCAGGTGCAGCAGGAGGCGTCGTCGTTACCGTGGCGTCCTCCCCGGCGTAGTGCGCCAGGAGTCGCGGCCCCCCCGGATGCCGGGCCCCCCACTTGGTGACGTCATAGACGCGCCGCTCCACCACGAGCCAACGAGGCTCCCCGTGGCGACCTCCGCTCCTCTGCGAGACCTCCTCCCAGGTCCAGAGACGAGGAGACGTCGATGATGGTGATGATGATGATGGTGGTGGTGCTGCTGATGATGGTCCTAACGATTTCTCGCAGGACGATGCGGACGATGATGACGATCGAGTGATGGTGGTGGCTCGTTGTTGAGAAATTCCGCCAAACGTCGAAGACGTCTTCGATGCTGTTGCAGCCATGGATGCTGCTGCTGCTGCTGCTGCACCGACCCCCCCACCGGCATCTCCATTCTGGACGCTCGCTGATCCTGGGGGTGCTTCGTCAGAGACCCCGTTGGTGGTTTGCTGCTGCTGCTGCTGCTGCCCCCCCTTGGATGTTGGGGAGCAGGGAGCCCCTCCACAAGTCGCTCCACTCTGCTGCCCGCCGCGACCCATGGCTCGCTGCTGCTGATGCTGATGCTGCTGCTGCTGCTTAGCCGCCTCTGCTGTGTTAGTGGCGGTGGTGGTGGTGCTGGTGGTGGTCGTGGGTGAGTGACAGGGGGGTGGTGGTGGGGGGGGGGTGAGACGGAAGGGGGGGGGGAGAGAGAGATGAGGGAGGAGACTACACGGACAGAGGTGGGGAGAGAGAGAGGTGGTAGAGAGAGGGGGGGTAGGGAGAGAGAGGGGGGGTGTTACATAAAGCAAAGCATTAAGAAAAAAAACGAAAAAAACGAAATGATGAACGAGGCAAAGTGTCGACTACAGCGAGCATCTTCTTGTTTCCACTGATCGTAAAAAAAAATATATATAAGAAAAAATATAAATAATAAAAAAATAGAGAGAGGGAGGCACTGAGAATCAGAGAGAGAGAGAGGGGGGGGGGACACGAGGAGAGTGGGGAGGGGAGGAGACGACACGGCAAGGAGAGAGGCAGCGAGGAGAGAGGAAAGAGAGAGAGGTGGGTGGGTGGGGGGGTAACACGGGGAGGGAGAGAGTCACCGTTGAGACTGAACCATTAATATGTGACGGGGGTAGTGAGCGGTGGCGCAGTGGTTAGGGGCATGTGCTACGCTTCACACCCAGCAGAGAGAAACAAAAGTTCGATTCCAGCTCACGACCACCGCCAGCGGTGGTAACAGCAGCGATTATCTGAACCGGTTCTGGGACTCCCCGAGGTCGACTCAGCCTCAAACACCCAGTCACTTGCTCGCTCGTTCGCCCACTCACTCAACCCACTCACTCACTAACCCAGCCAACCATTCGCTTATTCACTCACCTACTCATCCACACGCTCAGCCATCCGTTCACTTATTCACTCACAGACTCATTCACACGCTCAACCATCCATTCACTTCTCCACTCACCTACTCATCCACACGCTCAACCATCTGTTCACGTATTAACTCACCTACTCATCCACACGCTCAGCCACCCGTTCACTTATTCACTCATTGACTCATCCACCGACTCATTCAACCACGCACTCACCCACCCACCCACTCGTCTTGTTTGTCGATGAGTCTAGCATTAGTCTATGGGTCCAGTGTTAGTCTATGGGTCAAGTGTTAGTCTATAGGTCCAGTGTAAGTCTATGGGTCCAGTGTTAGTTTATGGGTCCATTGTTAGTCTATGGGTCCAATCTTAGTCTATGGGTCCAGTGTTAGTCTATAGGTCCATTGTTAGTCTATGGGTCCAATCTTAGTCTAGGGGTCCAGTGTTAGTCTATGGGTCCAGTGTTAGTCTATGGGTCCATTGTTAGTCCATGGGTCCGATGTTAGTCTATGGGGTCAGTGTTAGTCTATGGGTCCAGTGTTAGTCTATGGGTCCAGTGTTAGTCTATGGGTCCAGTGATAGTCTATGGGTTCAGTGTTAGTCTATGGGTCGTGTGTTAGTCTATGGGTCCAGAATTAGTCTTCAGGGTCCAGTGTTAGTCTATGGGTCCGGTGTTAGTCTATGGGTCCGTGTTAGTCTATGGGTCCAGTGTTAGTCTATGGGTCCAGTGTTAGTCTATGGGTCCGGTGTTAGTCTATGGGTCCAGTCTATGGGTCCGGTGATAGTCTATGGTTCCAGTCTATGGGGCCAGTGTTTGTCTATGGGTCCAGTGTTAGTCTATGGATCCGGTGTTAGTCTATGGGGCCAGTGTTTGTCTATGGGTCCGTGTTAGTCTATGAGTCCAGTGTTAGTCTATGGGTCCAGTGTTAGTCTATGGGGTCTGTCTTAATCTATGGGCCCAATGTTAGTCTATGGGCCCGATGTTAGTCTATGGGCCAAATGTTAGTATATGGAGCCAGTCTTAGTCTATGGGTCCAGTGTTAGTCTAACAGATTGCTGGTGGCAAGTGATCTGAGTAGCGAGTAGCAGCGCCTACGGAGGCCAGCAATATTTACACACCACATCAAGTAGTCACTTGAGGCTGAGTCGACCTAGGGGACCGGTTCAGATAATCATCACCGGTGATGGCCGTGAGCGGGAATCGAACTCGGGTCGCTCGGTCCGTAGCGCGGCGTGCTAACCGCTGCGCCACCGCTCCTCACCACCACCACCAACCAACCAACCGTCCAGTGACAGCAGCGATGATCTGAACCGCTCCTGGTGGGCCTCCCCTAGGTTGACTCAGCCTCAAATGAGTACCCCTCAAAACGATGAAGACAAAGCTCCCTTCCCCCTCCACCACCACCTACGTGTAGCCTTTAAAGACTTTTGGGGCAAGTGCTGTTAGTAGCGAGTAGCAGCAGCGCCTATACACAGACAAAGATCCCCCGTGTAGCCTCTAGCAGGGCTATCGGGGCAAGTGCTGTTAGCGGCGAGTAGCAGCAGCACCTACACACAGACAAATATCGCCCCGTGTGGCCTCTAGCAGAGCTGTCGGGGCAAGTGCTGTTAGTAGCAGCAGCACCTACACACAGACAAAGATCCCCCGTGTAGCCTCTAGCAGACTGTTGGGGCAAGTGCTGTTAGTAGCGAGTAGCAGCAGCACCTATACACAGACAAAGATCCCCCGTGTAGCCTCTAGCAGACTGTTGGGGCAAGTGCTGTTAGTAGCGAGTAGCAGCAGCACCTATACACAGACAAAGATCCCCCGTGTAGCCTCTAGCAGACTGTAGGGGACAAGTGCTCTTAGCGAACAGCAGCAGCAGCGACTATGAAGGCCGGGGGTTGCCGATGTTAGATGCACACACCGCAGTTGGATATACTGATTTAGGGCTGAGTCGACCTAGGGGGAGTCCCCTGTTGTCCCTGTCATTGATGGTGGTTAGCAGCGTGCGAACTGCTGTAACACCGCCCCCCCCCCCCCCCCCATTATTAACGACATAGTCAGCATCATCATCATAAGCACCATCAGTGTTGTCATCATTGTCAGTATCATCAGCATCATCAGCAGCATCATCATCATCGGTGTCATCAGTGTCATCAGCATATTCACCAGTATCATCAGCATCATCATCAGCGCCATCATCGTCATCATTATAATCGGTACCATCATCATCATCAATATCATCAGCATCATCATCAGCGCCATCATCGGTATCATCATCATCAGTATCATCAGTATCATCAGCATCATCATCAGCGCCATCATCGGTATCATCATCATCATCATCGGTACCATCAGCATCATCATCAGTATCATCAGCATCATCAGTATCATGATTTGCATCATCAGTATCGTCATCAGGATCATCATCAGTATATTCAATATCATCATCAGCAACATCATCAGTATCATCATCAGTATCATCAGTTTCATCAGTATTATAATTTGCATCGTCAGTATCGTCATCAGTATCATCATCATCAGCATATTCAATATCATCATCAGCATCTTCAATATCATCATCAGCAACATCATCGCTATCATCATCAGTATCATCAACATCATCAGCATCATCAGTATCATCATCATCATCATCAGTATCATCATCAGTATCATAATTTGCATCATCAGTATCGTCATCAAGATCATCATCATCAGCATCTTCAATATCATCATCATCGGTATCATCATCATCAGTATCATCATGAGCACCATCATCAGTAATGGTCAGCATCATCACCGTCATCATCATCATCATTACGCAAAGAGTTGTCCTTACAATCCTCGTCCTCCGGAGTCGAGAAACCCTTCCGAGTTGGACTCAAGGTGCAGGTCTCTGAGCCTGTGGGGAGATCTGCGAGGTTTTTATGAAGACCGTGAACAGGGCAAAGAGTCCCCCGGGCGAATCACGGACAGTTAACGCCCCGCGAATATGCTGAGAGGGGCGAGATTTGTAGTGCGAGAGGATCGATAATCATCATCGGAGCGCCGCTGATAATTATCAATGTTTCAAGGTTAAGAAAACGCGTGTCAAGACCCACCCCCCCAACACCACCCACCGCCTCCTCGCCATAGAGGCCGTCAATAAACTTTTATGTGAACACTTTATATGGCCTCCAATGAGCTGTGTCGCTCTGTTTTCAGAAGTGACCTGGTCCATAGAGACCCATAGAGACCCATACTCATAGAGACCCATAGAGATACAAACTCATAGAGACCCATACTCATAGAGACCCATACTCATAGAGACTCATACTCATAGAGACCCATGTTCATAGAGACCCATACTCATAGAGACCCATAGAGACCCATACTCATAGAGACCCATACTCATAGAGACCGAAACTCACAGAGACCCATACTCATAGAGACCCATGCTGATAGAGACCCAGACTCATAGAGACCCATACTCATAGACACCCAAACTCATAGAGACCCATACTCATAGAGACCCACACTTATAGAGACCCATACTCATAGAGACCCATACTCATAGAGACCCACAGAGACCCATAGAGACCCATACTCATGAAGACCCATAGAGACCCATTCTCATAGGGACCCATACTCATAAAAACCCATGGAAACCCATACTCATCGCGACCCATAGAGACCAATACTCATAGATAACCATAGAGACCCATACTCATACGGACCCATAGAGACCGATACTCATATAGACCCATACTCATAGAGACCCATTGAGAACCCATACTCATGGAGACCCATACTCATAGAGACCCATAGAGACCCATACTCATGAAGACCCATAGAGACCCATTCTCATCGGGACCCATAGAGACCCATACTCATAGAGACCCATATGCAGTCGAAGTAGACGAGACAGCGGATGTCACAAACAAAGCCCAGGTCTCTGTAATTTCGCGTTATGTGGCTAAAAGTGAGGTGGCTTGTGAGGTGAGGGAGGCGATTTTGGGGATTTGACGATGTCAGTGATGACAGAAGAGCACCGGCTATTGCTGATTCATGTTTTGGGAGTGTTGGGTAAATACAATTTGCGTTGAAGAGCTGCGGGCTCAGACTTATGACGGAGCCTCTGTGATGGCATCAGATCCTTAGTGGGGTGCAGGCCAAGCTGAAATAAAAGCTACTAAAGCCACGTTGACCCATTGTTACGCACGCAAATTGAACCCGGTGCTCTCGCATTCAGCAAATGTATGCCCGAGTGTAAAACGTCTTTTTTTTAAACAGTTGATGGACTTGCGACATGTTTCAACAAGCCGTCCTCAGGTCAAGAACAGGTCTGTCGGGAAGACAGCGTCTGAATGAAACACCACCACGCTTGGAGCGTATATTTAAGCGTATATTTAAGCTGGGTTGGAGGGGGAAGAGCGCCTTGACAAGGCGCTCTTCCCTTCTCCAAGCATGGTGGTGTTTCATTCAGACGCTGTCTTTCCGACAGACTTGTTCTTCACCCGAGGACGGCTGCTTGCGTTGTGGCCGAAACGTCGTGAGAATTGTATTTTATGATTTCGATTTAAAGCTTTCGTGACTGCAGGGATTCATCTTCTTGGTTCTTTCGGTAAAGTCACGTAGAATGGAAATAATAAAATAACAATAATTAAACGTAATAAAATAATTCTCACGACGTTTCGGCCACAACGCAAGTAGCCGTCCTCAGGTGAAGAACAGGTGGCCGAATTGTCGTGAGAATTATTTTATTATGTTTTATTTTTATTATTTTATCATTTCCCTTATACGTGACTTTACCGAAAGAACCAAGAAGATGTATTTTATGATGTTTTATTTTTATTATTTTATCATTTCCCTTCTACATGACTTTACCGAAAGAACCAAGAAGATGAATCCCTGCAGTCACGAAAGCTTTAAATCGAAAAAAAAATGTTTCAACAAATCAACCAAGCGCACCCACCTACTGGACGATGTTGTGAAGCGACGTTTACCAAGACCAGCGCCCACGAGATGGAGCTCAAATTCTAGACCAGTTCAGACGATCAGCGTGTACCAATCTGATCTGCGTGCTGTTGTTCCGGATTGTGAGCGGAAAATCCGGATGGTTGGGACAATGACACCCTGATGATGGATATGATCTTCGGCTGTAAAAAATTAACCCGTAAAAACAAAGTTTTTCACTATAAATCCTTTATATGCGTGGCGGCTAGAGTCCTCTCGTCCTCTGGCTTGAGATGGCTGCCACCTATAGGTCAGATGATTGCCTGCCACCATTAAGCAATTGGTAATTAAATATAAAAAAATTCCTAAAAAGTGGAAATATTTTGGAAATTGTTTTTCACGAAAATAAATTGTCACGCACAACGAGTCTGTGTGCAAAATGTCAGCTCAATTGGATCACGGGAAGTGGGTTAAAACACGACCGAAAGATCTGCACGGTCGTAAGCACGCAAGCAAGTGAACTTAATATAAAGGATTTCAAAAGCATCAACTTGCTTCTTCATAATGGCACACGAGGGCACTTTGAACGAAACCGATGCACTCTTTCGTGCGCCGCACAATAAAGGAATGACAATTGGATTCTGCTGTGCGCGAATCCGCGACACGATGGGAGTTATGGAACGCCAGGGGCAAGAGTTTGACAGTTTCTACGATCGATCCGAGCAGAAACGCGTCACACTTCGCCCGACAGGCAATGACCCCGAAGTTAACAGCCTATCAGAGATGAGAGGAAAATAATGTTTCGTAACATTCTGGACAATCACCATTGGAACCTCATTTGCCAGTAGCAAAATATGATAATTGTTTTTTTAAACATTTTATCTGGCATCAAAACTGACACTTTTTTTTACAAGGAGTCATGTTTGCATTGACCACAATACCTGCAGTCATAATGCAAAAAAAACATATCTCTGATAATGTATGCACTGTCCTTGAAGTTGATTGGTCCACACCCGAGACAGCTTTCCTTAGAGCCTAGTCTCACATGGTGTTGGACCAGATGACGCCAAAAGGCGCACAACTCAAAGACAATGCACCATCAGAGTATGAGAGCTCGGGGTAAGCATTTACACCATTGGAACCCCATTTGCCAGTAAAAAATATGATAATTGGTTTTTTACCCTTTTATCTGGCATCAAAACTGACACCTTTTTTAATACAAGGAGTCATGTTTGCATTGACCACAATACCTGCAGTAGGAATGCGCCTTTTGGCGTCATCTGGTCCAACACCATGTGAGACTAGGCTCTAAGGAAAGCTGTCTCGGGTGTGGACCAATCAATTTCAAGGACAGTGCATACATCATCAGAGTTATGTTTTGTTTTGCATTCCGACTGCAGCTATTGTGGTCAATGCAAACATGACTACTCGTAAAAAAAATAGTCAGTTTTGTTGCCAGATAAAAGGGTAAAAAACAATTATCATTCTGGACAATACCGTTTGGCTCTTTCGGTAAAGTCACCGTAGGTGTAATGTGAGGATATATCCGGGTTGCTGATGGATCACAACTCGTCACGATGATTGGCTCTGCCGGTCCTGGCCCATAGCCAATGGGGGGAAGTCTAGGGGCGTGGCCCTGACGTAATGGGAAGGTGACATCTGTAAGTAGAGGATTGGTTCTGCTGGCTTTAGCCACAGCCAATGGGGGGGACGAGTCAGGGGCGTGGTCCCGGGAGCGTACGATGGAGTCTAGAAGATTCCATAGAGGTTAACCAGGATTGATGGAAAGGTACCACGTGACCCGGGTATTATAAGGGGTGGAGACGAACAACACGTGATCAGATCTGGAACGAACGGAGGGTGAGGCCACGCGAGAGTTGGGGTCCAGGCTGCCACGTGGCCGCGCGTGTCTCTCTCTCTCTCCCTCTCACGCTGTCTGTCAGCAGCTTGAAGAAGTAAGATGGGAGTGTTGTGAATGAAAGACAAATGAAGACCGGATTCCAGAAGTCGCTTCCACGACCTGTATTACATAGCTTTGAAATAAAATACTTGAGCCCGATTCAGAAATTGTTTCTTGCTGTGGTTGTCCCACCTGATGACAGACGGTTGTGTTGCGCCCGAAACGTCGTGATTTAATTTATTTCACACCATTGGAACCTCATTTGCCAGTAAAAAATATGATACTTGTTTTTTTCCCCTTCTATCTGGCAACAAAACTGACACCGTTTTTTACAAGGAGTCGTGTTTGCATAGACCACAATTTATTTTATTTGAAACCCTCGTGACTTTACCGAAAGAACCAAAGAGTATGGATCCCTGCAGTCACGAACACTTCAAATCTAGATTATTCTGGACAATATCAGCGGTCGAATGAAAATGAGGTTTGATCATTTCGGCGAGCTAACTTTCCTTAGTTTGGTTGATTGCACCGAAATTTTATGATGTCACAACATTTCGATGACACCAAACTGCAGAGCCGATCAAAATATGCGAGTACGTTGACTGTGTTGGAATAAAGGCTGACCTTATGGGATTGTACAGTTCGCAAATGGTGAGGAACGAATGCAAATCACCCGAACAGCTCAACTCCATTGGAACCTCATATTATCAGAGTTATGTTTTTTGTTTGCATTATGGCTGCAGGTATTGTGGTCTATGCAAACATGACTCCTTGTAAAAAAGGTGTCAGTTTTGTTGCCAGATAGAAGGGTAAAAAACCTATTATCATATTTTTTACTGGCAAATGAGGTTCCAATGGTGTAAATGCTTACCCGAGCTCTCATACTCTGATGGTGCATTGTCCTTCAGTTGTGTGCCTTTTGGCGTCATCTGGTCCAACCCATGTGAGACTAAGCTCTAAGGAAAGCTGTCTCGGGTGTGGACCAATCAACTTCAAGGACAGTGCATATATTATCAAAGTTATGTTTTTTGTTTGCATTATGGCTGCAGGTATTGTGGTCTATGCAAACATGACTCCTCGTAAAAAAAGGTGTCAGTTTTGTTGCCAGATAGAAGGGTAA